TTGGGCTTTGAATATTTTTCGCCAATTTTTTACATATGTATATATATATATTTATGCACATACATAAGTACATCTTTCGCAGTTTGTTGTTTGCTAATAAAATAAATATGAGCATTTCCACAGAACGGTCAACCAGGACCGAGAACTAAAATGAGCAATCAGTTGTATGGGAGCTATAAGTTATAGTGGTCCGCATTTGGCGGTTCCGCCACTAGATTTGTGCAGCTCCGTGGTTGTTTAATCGCCGCTGTGTTGAAAACAAAGGTAGTCAAGAATATTTCACACCTCCGCAATTTTTATGCTGTTTTTTTTGTTTAAAATATTAACGTTTCTTTGCTACAACTGGTACTTAAGTATTTTACGATCCGCCTGGGCATTAATGCAGGGATCCTCGTACATAGGTCTGCACCCTATTAGTCGTATTTTGTAATTTTTCGCGTTTGTGAGTCTGATTTCCTTGTTGCTGGTTTTGCCTGCTGCTGTGATTTTCCCATTCGATGCTGGTCTGTTCGCCGCCAACAATGCTGCATGCAAGTACCCAATCGTACATACTACATACATACATATGTGGTGGTTTATATACATTATCGCCCAACATTGAAATAGTCTATATGGCTTTCGAAGAACTACTCTGCAACTCTTATCTCCTTTCGACTTTTGCTCAGTACGGTGTTCTTCGTCGTCTTTTACCCGTTCTGGCGCGAGATGCACTTGCATTGAATATTGCGTAGCGTATGTTCATAAATTTTGGCAACAGCTACGTTCTTTTCCACAACACTACGCCAGCTCGGCAAGAACTAATGCTCTTTCCTTGAGACGTGCTGCCATCCGGAAAAGTCCTTGGCTAAAGGACACAACAAGTTCATGGCAAAGTGTTGCATTGTTTTGTGTTGTTTGCTTGCTGCATTCCGCTTGTTTGTTTTTTTCTCTTTTTATGCGAGCAGCTTAGCAATGGTTAATGCCATAAATACTACAATGCATCCGCGGCATGTCGGCACACCGGTATTCCGGGGACGAGCTATGCAAGAACATCCTGGATTGCGCTATCGCACCACTGCCGTTGCATCCTCTTCCACTTAGTCGACCGGCACCGGCTTCAACAAGAAATTCATTTCGTCAGTATGACTGCCAGAACATTTATGTGCATTGACCCCAAAAAGCTGGTGATGTCGTTGCAGACGATAGTGGTAATAACATTTTTTCTGTGGCTATACTAATATACATACTTGTACGTAGTACATCCACTATGCAGTGAAAGTTTTCCGCTTAAAATGGTTTAAATGTGAAAATAACTTTGTAAATGAAAAAACCGAATGCGACTGAGTGACTGAATGAGAGCAGAAATGACAGAATAATGAAGGGATCGCTTAGGCATTGGCAATTGCATTGACGTTGGCATTGGGCGAATATTGGACTTAAATTTGTTCTCAAACTTTTTTGTTTAATACATATTTGAGATATTTATTGAAGAAAACATTTGTACAATTTAAGACGAAAACAGTGTTTTAAAAGTACATCAGCTACATACATATACCATATAACATAACGTAACGGTTCAGTGGTTCGAACCAATTACAAAAAAGTTCAAGAACCGGTTCATGAGTATTTCTGAACCGCGGTTGGGTTCGTTCAAATGGTTAAATTTTTTGAATGCCAAATGATACAAATATTACCACAAATATGATAAATCTATGTACGTACATATATGTATAAAAATAAATAAAATATGGATAACAAGTAGTATCTAGCAAAAAAACCGACTTCAATTCTCAAATATTATCAAGTAATTTTTAGCAAAAAAAAACCGGCTTATTTAATATATATATATATATATATTTCATGATCCAATGATCGGATCTAAACTCAGATTAGTATGGGACCACCTCTGGTACACTACCTTTCCGATGCAAAAAGAATTATCAAAATCGGTTGGCGTGGTCCAAAGTTATGCGGTAACATACATAAAAAAAAAAATATTCCGACGAACTGATTACCTCCTCCTTTTCTGGAAGTCGGTTAAAAGTAACACGTGTCTCATAAGTTTTGGCACAAAATGCATCGTCCACCCCTTCCACAATAACCATGGTATTTTAATATGCGTTTTCATAGTAAGTTACTAAGTTTATTGTCTACTAAAAATTATTTTTATACCACACTATATGGACCATTATCCTTGATTTTTCTAAGGATGTATGGAGCTTTCTTTATCATGTTCTGGCAGACCGATTTATCCATTTCCCTTATCTTTCGCGTAATCCTTCCAATCAACTGTTGCTCATTTTTAGCCTCCCAGCCTTTGTCATACACCATACGCTTAAGTATTGCCCAGAAGTCTTCGATTGGACGTGCCTTTGGGATATTCGGAGGGTTGCCCTTTTTCGGTACAAAAGGTATATTGTTTTCTGTGAGCCAATCCAACGTTTTTTTAGCGTAATGGCTACTTGCCAAGTCCGGCCAAAACATGATTTTGTCGCGAGCATGATTGTTTTCAATGAAACGCTTCAACTTGGTTAAACATTGGTTAATGTAAGTGTCAGAATTGATCGCTGCAGCACCACTTGGGCGGATTAACGGCACTGAAACACCTTTTGATTAAATGGCGGCCCACACCAACACTTTTGGTTCATATTTTGATTTGGCGGCATATTTCACCTTATCTGGAGTCAATTCAATGTTATCAGTGTAGAAACCATCATTCCCGCTTATTTCATGATGCGAAAAAGTGAAGTAAGATTCATCGTCTAAAATTATGAATTTTCCATTTACAAAGTGCTTGTCGCGTAGTGCCCGACAACATTTTGGTATTATTTCGAGCTGCCTGGCTGTATATTTGGGTGTACGCTTCCGTTTCCGGTAAAACACATTATGCTTGGTCAAAACACGATGGACCGTGGATTTTGAAACGTCAAATTTTCGCGATAATCGTCTCGTGGATTGCCCAACGTTGTTTTTGGCCCTAGTTATCAAACTTTTTACGAGTTGGTTAGTTAGTTTTGGCGGACGACCACATTTTTTCTTATTTTCCTGTTCCTTACCATCGCGACAATCTTTTAGAACCCGAAAAATAGTTCGGCGTGATATTGGCTTATCTTTGAATACTTGCAGAATTTCCTTTGAACTTAGTCTGCCGAAAAGATTTTCAGCGGACTTTCGTAATTCTAGTTTGTACGCCATTATTATTTGAGACAATTTAAAATTATGAGTTTGGCAGTTGCCTCTATGTAACAGTAAACACATTGAAAACGTTGAATATAATTTTTACCCCCATTTATGCAGTAACGGAATGCAACAGTTTTGTGCCAAAACTTATGGGACATATGTTAGAAAATATATTTACATAGATGGTGAATGTCGATCCCTTTCTGGTGGGTATTTTCGGTAATATTTGGCGTATGTTGAATAACTGGTCTCTGGTGGATACATTAGACCCAAAGCAACACTGATAAGGCCCAATCAATTTGTTGACGGTGGGCTTCAGTCATTCACACAATACGCTCGATAAGACCTTATAACCTTTGCTGATGCGTATGGCGGGGTCGCCTTTCTTGTGGATTGGGCAGAGTGCGGGCATTCGTTCAGCTGTCCATAGTCTGCATAAGAGCTTATGCATGCACCTTATCAACTCCTCCTCACCGTACTTGAAAAGCTAAGCTGGCAGACTGTCAGCTCCAGCAGCGTACCTCGTCATAGACAGGCGGTCGAACACCGACTCCATCACCATCGACTGGGAGCTCCAGGTGGTCTACTACTCAGCCTTTAGTGCTGCTACCCTTAAGTAGGGTGGAAAAATGTTCCCTCCATAATTTAAGCACGTTCTGGACATCGGTCACTAGGTCGCCATGGTTGTTCCTACAGGAGTTCGCCCTGGTATTGAAACCTTCCGTAAGTCGACAAACTCTATGGTAAAATTTTAGCGCGTTTTTCCTGCCGGCCAGCATCTCAACCTCTTCGCACTCACGTATTTGCGGAGGCTTTGTTCTTTCTTTCAATTGGAAGGGGTTTTTAAATGTCGACTTTTTCGCATGTGTCAGTAATTAAAATAAATTAATTTTTACAGTGTTGCACCCGTATCATATAAAGTGCCGGCACGACATTTTATTTTTCTTTTCTTTATTTCCCAAATTTCATAAGCTTTTATGGTTAATTTGCTTGCCGGATTGTATCAAATCGCACACTCTTAATAAATGCCTTTGCATCTGTTCACTTTGTGTTTGTGCCTCGCAACTAACTAAGCATCATATTGGAATCGGGTTTAGGGTCATCACTCGTTTCGTGGTCTCATTGGCAGCAGCCCTTTATTTGTAGCTTCCCTTTGGTGGTAAATTCTCTTCAAAATTTGAAATTACCCAGCCAAATGTGCCAGCTTGGAATTTAATGTACTCGAATAAAGCAAAGATTAACATTTTTAATTGCGCTACTTCCAGCATCGACCGGCAATGCACATTTAAAAATGGAGATTAAATATTTTTTTTAGTGCAGCACATTAATTAAATTTCTGTAGCGCTTCTCGTATTTTTTCGTCTTAGAGCCTACTTGAAAAAATGCTGCTATTGGAAGATCTATGCGCTTCTTCTTACAGTGTAGTATTGCACACATACATATTATGCATAGATGACGGAAGGACGTCATCCAACACCTCTTACGCAAATACCACATACAAACGTGTTTTTGTACAAATGCATGTATGTATTTATTGTGAAGATGTTGGAAGATAATAAAATATTAATAGCAGTCAGTAGATTTCAAAAATTTTTTAATGCTCAATATAAAAAAAAAATATCAACTGCGTAATTTAGCTTATCAAGGCCGCACAAAACCACAATAAATCGTACTCGTATACTTAGGCATTTAGTAGCAACAATTTTCCAAGCAACTAATAGTAAGACTATCATATTACAAAATGAAATATTTGTGCTATCTAAACGAATTACTATTCTAATAAATTCATATATAAATATATGTATGTGCCTACAATTAAGTTTTCTCTCTCTGTTTTTCAGTATTGGGCAAAGGCCAAGGCGAGACTTGCCGTTATAGATTCCTGGGTAAATATGGTGGTTACTGTTGGATCGTGACACAAGCCACAATTGTTTATGACAAACTAAAACCTCAAAGTGTCGTTTGCGTGAATTATGTTATAAGGTAAGTACGCAGATTTCTATTTATTCACTACGTTATTTTGTTTGTATAAATGTTGGACGGACAATATTCGAGTTGTATGCGAGAATGTAATGACGCGTGTGAAATTCCGTGCAAAATTATCCGAGAAAATAGTGTATAGATAAAAAGTGAATGCGAACAATTTGAAATCGATGATATTAATTTAAAGAATTCAAAACTTAAAATATATACAGTTAAAAGTAAATAAAAAAGTTATTAATAAAAATTTGCCAATAAATGATTGCAAAAGCGTTTGTATACTTGGAAATGTATAATAAAAAAGTAAAATAAAAAAATAAAAACATATTTATAACTAAACAAAATAATATAAATGTATTGAAATATTGTCAAATAATATAATAGATATAATATAATAAAACAATACGAAATAATTTAAAATATAATATGTAAAGTAATATAAAAAATAATAAAATAATATACAAAATAATAAAATAATATACAAAAATATAAAATATAATAAATTAATATAAAAAAATAATATAATATAAGAAATAATAAAATAATGTAAAAAAAAAAATATATAAAAAATGAAAAAATACATAATATAAAAAATTATAAAATAATATGAAAAGTAATAAAATAACATGAAAAATAATAAAATAACATGAAAAATAATAAAACATAATGAAAAATAATAAAATAACATAAAAAATAATAAAATATTATAAAAGTAATAAAGTGATATAATAATATGAAATATAATAAAATAATATAATAGATAATAAAATAATATGAAAAATAATAAAATTTCAGTTAACAATTGCTGATAGAAAGTAGCATAAAAAGAAAAAGAGAAAATTAGCAAGTGATAGGCCTATCGGACATTTTAGTTAGGAAGTGATTACAAGACATAATAGATATCCAAGTTTTTTGTCTTTGATGGAAGGCTGTAACTAATTCTGAAAGGTCTTAGTGAGTAATCGACCGACTTACGTACATATCTATGTATGTACGTTGGATAGTGGCAACACTTCGTTATGTGTGTAAATGAGATTTGTGCCTTATCCTTAATAGTAGAGCCCATGATAAAAATATAGCAAGGTAGAACCGTTCTCTCAATTTGTCGGCCATGATTTTTTTTTTGAAGTTTGCCAACATTTTAAAATGATATAAAAGTGAAAATAAAAAAATGAAATTGTTCGAAATTGTTGTTGCTTGGGATTGAAAATAAAAATGTGTGTGTGAGTTTGTGAGTAAATTTAAAAATTAAATTGTTTGGAAACGTCAAGAATTTTAAAAGTGACTCTCAGCGGTTCTACCTTACTATATTTTTATCATGGTAGAAACCAAAAAAAAAAAAAAACTTCACATATGGGTGTTTCCATGAAAATGTCAACCAGGACTGAAAAAATAAAAACAACTGAAAAGGGTTTTTAAGACGAATTAATAAGAGTAAAAAACTCGAATTTTATATTATAGAAGTATTTCAGCTTATTGCAATTTTAAAACTCAAAAGTTTAAGAGTAAAACTGAGTGTCTCTTCGCCTCAGTTTTCTCTAATGAAATGTACTATTTCCTCTTTCCTATTAACTAAATTAAGAGATTTGAAACATTACAATTACATCTTAAAATCAAATTTGCAATAACAACCAACTATAAAAATGAGAAAAAGGAGAAGTTAGAGCTCGGTTAACGGTAATTTTTTGATTTGCTTCTGACAGTATTCTAATGTCGCGTACGTTATGCAAAAACATTGTTTGTCTATGTCATTTGTATATTGGCAGTCGCAGGTAATGCAGATTACAATTCTTAAGCGAGAATTCTTCCAGTTAAAGATATACAGTAAAATTTTCTTTCCAACCGAAGTAAAAATATATTTGATTACCCTTTAAAGTTTGTCGCATACGTTATTGTAAGTACGAAAATTTCAATCAAATATATCAAAACCAATGTTAATTGCAAATTTTCCATTTAAATTATTTAGAATAGTTGTAAAACAATGAAACGGTGGCGAGAAGAGTTCTCAATAAATACATTTTATTACTTACGAGAAAAATGGTCGCGTACGTTATGTCGCGTACGTTATTGTTTTTTTTTTTTTAATATACAACTAGCCAGAGATAATTTCTCTTAAAATATGAAAGGATTGTAAAGGTACATTATTTAGCTTAGTTTAGGAATTTTTAAAGAAAAGAAAAACTTCCATGATTCGCAGACTTTCGCATATATGCGTGTTTCCATGAAAACCGAAAATGCAAGCAAATGAATTCAAACGGCTTTATAACTTTAAATTTCGTATTCAGATGGCGGAAAAGGGGTTTGAAAACGCGAAACGGTGGAGAGAAGAACTGAAAAAATTTAATTTAGTATGTGTTACTAGTAAAAATATTGTATGGGGGAAAAATCTGTCGCGTACGTTATGTCGCGTACGTTATTATATTTTTTTTTTATAAAAACTAACCAGAGATAATTTCTATCAAAAAATGGAAGGATTGTAAAGGTACGTTATTTAGCTTAGTTTAGGAATTTTTAAAGAAAAGAAAAACTCTCATGATTCGCAGACTTTCGCATATACATATGTATATGTGCCTTAAAACCACTTCTTTTTTTGGTTTTGAACGGATATTTTCCACACCAAAGTTTCGAGGCTGCTTATTTTTTTCTCAAACATAGTACCCTTTGGTTGCAACATAACCGTAATATTGTTTTCAGTAACTTCTATTTTTGATAGATTTACGTTACTCTATAAGCGTACGAATGTCGCGTACGGCTGTATGGAAACACCCATATGCATGTTGAGGCAATCGAACCTAGGATATGTTGGAGCCTTGCGAATAATAGCGAGCACCTCTGCATACTCAACTACAGTGAACTGGTTTTCAAATGTTCACTTTGAATCAAATTTCTTTCCATCGTTTCAACATCTTTAATTTCAGATTTGTTTAAAATTCTGGGTTACGCTTTAAATAATTATCGGAGTGCTCAGAATTTGTGTGTCTAAAATGAGCATTTCTTTCGCCATAAAAATGGTTCTGAGACCAGTCAAGCAGATTGACTCATTTCGGGCTCGTTTCGTGTCATAAATTGTGAGTTGAACAAAAGTGACAAAGTTCACGTAGAACTAAAAGTTTATTAATAATCAAAATTATAAAGAATATTTGTTTTTAAGACCAATATGACTCTTAACTTGGACTCGTATTAGCGTGCCCTTCTAAGAAGGGTATATATGTTCTTTTCTGACTCTTTTTTGAGCTCATAATGAGGGTTACAACTCAAAACTCAGATTTTTCTGACTCTAAAATAACTCCGAGTGATAGCCCTGCTTACATTTTCTGTTAAAAAAACTCGAAATCGCATTTGAATCGAATGGAGAAACTGTAAAGCTCCAAAAAAAATTATGTTATTTTTTTTCTTAGACTAGCGTTTACTCGCACTAATTTTGCTCACTCCATTACACAACAATTTACCGTTTTATTATTAATTAGTGCGATCTACATTAGCCATTTTCTCACAAAATTGTATGTCTGCTTTTAGAGTCAATAAAGAATTTCAATCAATCGTTTTTTTTAAATTCATATTTTATTACTTTATTTATTAAATTTTACTCAACGCTGAACTTCTGACATAAATTGCAACACACACATGCATACATATGTATGTATAGGGTGGGCCAAGTAAGACCTACAAATGATTACGCCACGCAGCGTATCTGGATGGAGGCTCGCTCCGTATCTCGTCTCAATTATTCTGCTTCAGCTGTCTAATATTTAGTCTCTGCTTTATTAGCACTTTTTTTTTTGGCAGCAGGCCCTTAGTTTGCTTGCAGTGTGCGCAATCGGTCCATCTTGTGGCGGCAAAAAGTTGTCAATTATTGTTCCGTAAGAAGCCCCAGAAATCGTTTCTGGCGTTTCATCCTCATTATCGAAGAAATATGAGCCGATAACTTTTTTGGCCATAACACCGCACCAAACAGTGCATCTGGATGCCCTTGGACTTTCAGAGCCCCACAATCTACAGTTTTGCTTATTGATATAACCATTTAAATGGAAATGCGCTTCATCCGACATCGAAAAATTACCTAAAAAATCAATTTGTGTGGCTAATTGTGTAAAAGGAGTAGCGTATTGCGGTCGCTGTTGGTGGTCTTGCGGTAGCAGTGCTTGCACAAATTCTGCAAGTATCCACGACAATTTTCCAAGAGATTAACTATAAAATGCAGAAAGAAAATACTAATAATATTAACAAGTAATTTTTAGCAAAAACAAATCGATTTCAATTCTCATATAAAAAATATACATATGTATATATATATATATCCTATGATCCAATGATCGGATGAGACACTACCTTTCCGATGCAAAAAGTATTATCGAAATCGGTTGACGTGGTCCAAAGTTATGCGGTAACATACATAAAAAAAAAATATTCCGACGAACTGATGACCTCCTGCTTTTTTGGAAGTAGGTTAAAAAATAATTCCGTTATACGTAAGACATTAGTAGGTCTTATTTGGCCCACCCTGTATATACATTTGCGTCTGCAATAAATGAACGAATAAAATGTAGGTAAATTAACCATTAGATATAAATATTTTGTTTGTATTATTTGGGCAGCAACGCATCTCAAAATTAAATATCGCTTCAATGAACTTAAATTGAAATTTATTTCGGGCGCGTGTTCTCTTGAGCGCGAAAAGCACCATAAAGAATGCTGAGATGCAAATGAAAACTTAAATACAATTATAAAGTGTAAAAAGTAGACGATAAAGCTCATGAGCAAATGGCCAATATAATATGCGAATATTTTATTAGTTAGATGACAAAAGCTGGATGAATAGCCTCTGCAGGTGTTGGAAGACAAATGTCAAATGTATTTTTTCTGACCAGTTGGCTAGTGTCATATATAGACACTTTGCTATGTATTTCAGCCCTGCTAAGTGTTTTTCATTCGAGCAAAGAGACACAAAATGTGAAAGTTTTAAGCATCTGCCTACTTAGCAACAGCAAATGTTTTGGTACACG